CAGGCTGCTCTTCCTACAGTAGCACCATATATACACAAACACATGGGCAATGGGGTGGTCGTTGATGAGAGAGAGAGAGAGAGAGAGAGAGTTCAATCACCCAAATTGATACAAGTGCGCAAGTCCATGGCACATAGACAGAGGGTGAAGAGTATTTGTATTTCTTTTCTTTCATTTTTTTTGTGTGGATTCCATCTACATTCTCGTAATTTCCACAAAAGACACCAATGGGCTCTTTCATTTTTCATTTTCATTTTATTTTCCTTTCTAGAATACTTCAAAAAGTTTTCAAGCAGAGTTTAGAAGATATCTCTCATATTCATATACAATAATTCCTCTAAAAAGATAACATTTCATTCCATTAACAAATAACAAATGCATATACTAGTTGTTCCCTCACTACCTTTTGCTGTTAGGTAACAAACAAAGAAAATGGAGAAGCCTTGGGAAGGGGGAAGCATCTACCTTCCAGATTTTGAGGAGTGCCCCGCAGCCATTTCACACTTAAACAGCAGAAAGTTTTTGTCCGTCTTTAAGTCCCTCAGCTTCGCCACAAACTTCGTGGGTTCAGAATACAAAACCCGTGGGTCTAGAAGCAAAACACAGAGAGTCAGAAGAAACCCCTTACTTTTCGCTTTTGATGTATTGGGAAAGCTTTTCAAATAACATGGTCTATGGACTATAGTACACCATAAACCACGGGTACATCCACCATCTGTTTCCATTGATGGGCGGTGGATATTAACTGTACCACGACAAATGTCCATCATTGGGAACTAGGGTTGATGTATAACATCCATCATCAAGAACAAACCTTGAATGAGCAATGGTGTCCAAATACCATATAACAGTGGTGAATGGTATATTTTCCTTTATTTTTATTTGCAATATAAAACGATTTACAGAAAAAAGAGAAAAGATCTAATAAAAAAAAGAAAAGAGCTAAAGACCAAATTTGACAACACTGAATCTGAAAATGGATTGCATACCATTTAGACCAGCTGTGACCAGAATGTTAGGGTAATCTTGTGGTTTAATCTGCAAAGAAATAGCCACTCAGATGCAGTCGAACAAAACTCTCGCATACAAATCACAAGAAAGACTATAATGTTGTTGAAATAGAATGGCCATTTGTCAGTCCCCCAATAACATTTGGTTAAATCTCATCGGATACTAGACAGAAAGCAAAACCAGCCCATCGCAATAAGCATTATTTCTGTGAATCACATAATGAACCCTTCCTGTAATAAGCACAAATGTTTCTCAACAAGAAAACCATGTTGCAAATCTCTTACACTTTCCTTCAGTATCCATGCATGCAATCTTTCTATACAAAATTATGCTGGTCCTTCTTGAATAAAGCATCTCCTCTCGATTTGTGAAATTAAATTCTTTTAATCTTAAATAGAGTATTTCCTGTAATGTAGATCAAGGTGCCGCGATTTATCGCAACTATTTTACAAGAAGGATTTACCAAAAGTAACATCTTCTTATCCAAAAAGCTTGTAATTGTCTCCTATGCTATTGTTACCAGAAATTCAAGATAGAAACTGATAGGATAGCATGCTATCATTTTCTGTCACTGCCCTTGGGATCCTTCAAGGAAAGTTCTTCTCAAGGGTCTATTCCTCACCACTAGTGTTTCAAAAAGCGCTAGGCGGTCGTGAGGGTCCAGGTCGCCCAGCGCCTAGGCAGGCTCCAAGAACCTGGACAGCCCAGTAGAAAATTTTGTTTTTTGTGTTTTTTCTCTCTAAAATAGCCTCTAATGGGTTTTTGGTTTCAAATAGACCTAAAACCGACAATTTTGCCCTTTTAGTATTAAAAACAAATGACCAAAAAATACCCTCAAGGAACCACATTTCTGCCCCTGGGTGGGATGCAGGCCCAAGGCGGCCGCTTAGGTAGGCTCAGGCGGGCGCTCAGGGATATCCGCCTAGGCGGCCGCCTAGGTGCTGGGCGGTTCGCTTTTTGAAACAGGGCTCAACACAAATGAACAATGAACAAAACAATTAATAAATGCAACTCATTTTTTATTATTTAAAACAACTAGCATCATGCATAAGGTATCAGTAAGCACATTTAAAATCGATCCATGCTATTACTACAAAAAAGAAACAAGTGGTCCATCCAAATCTAGATGGCTTGGTCCGCTCAAAACTATGGGAAATTTTAATCAAACAAAGATGCAAAAAGATTATATAAGGTTGACACCTTAAAATGTATAGTTAAGGTGCGCCTCTAAAATACTTCAAAAAGGCTATTTTAATAGAGGAAAAACATCTAATTGAT